ATTCGAACCCGCTACCTTAGGTATATGTGGCTGGTGCCTTAGCCACTTGAGCCACAGGTGCCGAGCCAAGGCTCTCTTTCTGTCACCTTGCTAGAATGCAGTGGCATCATCATTGCAATCTTAAACTCTTGGGCTGAAGTTGTTCTCCTGCCTCAGTTTCCTGAATAACTGGGACCACAGGCATGCACCACCACACCTGGTTAATTTTTCTATTTTTTTGTAGAGATGGGGGTCTCACTCTTGTTCAAATTCCTGGCCTCGAGCAGTTGTCCCACCTCAGCCTCCCAAAGTGTTGAGCTTGCAGGTTTGAGCCACCTACCTGGCAGACACAACATTTCTAATGGCCTAGACTCTTAAGCCAGCCTGCCTGGGTTCAGATCGTGGCTTGAGTTCCTCCTAGCTGTGTAACCTCAGGACATTTCTTATACTGTGCTACAATTTCCTCATCCTCTAGGATTAAATTCCTAGAGTTACTGTGAAGGTTAGATGAAGTTTCTATCTGTAAGGTGTGTAGCGTGGTGTCTAACACTTAGGTGTTCACTGAGAATAAGACTAGTTCATACCTGTACATAGCAGGAGTCAGCACACTGGGCTGGCTAAGGGCCCTGTCTGGTGGCCTAACCTGGTTTGATGTGCCCAGCACCCATGCCTCCCTGTCCTCCCCGACAGAGAACGGGAACCGCTACGAGGGCTACTGGGAACGAGGCATGAAGAATGGGTCTGGACGTTTCTTCCATCTGGATCACGGGCAGCTGTTTGAAGGCTTCTGGGTGGATGACGTGGCCAAGTGCGGCACAATGATTGACTTTGGCCGTGATGAGGCCCCTGAGCCCACCCAGTTCCCCATTCCTAAGGTGGGCAGCCCTCACTAGGATCCTGTGGCCACACCCAGAGAAACAGAAACCGGTACCCCCCAGCTATGCCCAGCCGCACCCAGCCCAGCCCAGACAGGGAACAGATCAGGATTTGTTTTCAGTCAGGGTATCCTTAATAAGGCAGGAAGCTCCCAATGAGACTGGTAGCCTGCATATTCCATGCTTCTGACACTAACCCCTTGATATTTCCCCCCAGATCGAACTTCTGGACTCTGATGGTGTGCTGGAGGAAGCCTTGGCCACATTTGAGAAGACAGAGGAAGAAGGAGACTGATGCCGGGTGAGGGGCTAGGCATATCTGCCACCCTGTGATGTGGGACCCAGACAATAGCCAAATCTCCTAGGGTCTCCAAAGGGCCCGGGGGAAGGAGCAGAGAGGTCAGGTTTCCTGCCTCCTATGGTCCAGTTGGTCTTTTTTGGTTCCTCCCCTTGAAACCCTGTTTCACTGAAGACCAGCACATTCCAGTCCTGCCCAGAACTTTCCATGTACACCCTGGGCTGACTGGGATGAGCCCGGGTTGGAGCAAGGTAGTCTTCTGGGCCCCAACATCCTTGAGTAAGGTGGTTGCCCCGGGCCTCCATTTGTACATCTGTCCAGTGTACATTCCCTGTAAAAGGGGCCTTGTACAGTCCTAAGTCCCTTCTGGGGTAGGCATGAGGGTTTGAGGAGAGGGCACTAGTACAGAGCCTTTCAAATGTCACCATCTCCCTCACTCTTGCAGAGAGAACAGCAAAGCTTCAGGAGAAACTCAAGTCTATGTCACCCAACTACTCAGACCGGTACAGCTCCCAAAGGAGGAGTGAGCTGGGCACACCCTTGGCACCTTCAGAGGGCACCTCACTCCTCCCAGCACTGGATCATCCTTAGCCAACAGAGGGGCCAGTGCTTTTCTCCCTGGCTGGCCTCAGGGACCCTCTTGTTATGGCCTTAGTTCTATGATTTCATCCTAGAGTGTGTGAGAATAAACAAAAGCAGGTGATGTAAGCCTGGGGCTATGGAGAGAGCCCAGGAGGGGTTGCAGATAGGGGAGAGGGAAGACACCCCCTCCACAGCCCTCAGGGCTCACCTTGGGGAAGAAAGGGCAAATGCCTGACCTCTGAGATTGTCTGGAGAGGAGAAAGAGCCTGCATTCTGCCACACTGGCAGCCAAGATTTGAGATTAAAACTTCCTGACCTAGCTTCTCAACTCAACACAGGGGCTCTGAACCCTGGAATCCCATGGAAGCTTTAAGCTTTAAGAGTCCAGGTCTCATGCCCAAATGCTCCCATTTAATTCACATGGGGTGAGGCCTGGGCTTTCAGAAAGTTTCCCAGGTGATTTTTATGTGGAGCTAGGACCAAAGACCCTTGGTTTAGTGAATGTGTGACCCTAGATCTCAATTATCCATCTATAAAAGGAGACTCAGGAGAGCGCAGGAGAGTATTTTGAGGCTTTAGTAACAGAGGTAATAATGATAAATAACATGTATTGAGGTTAATTGCAGAGCAGGTACCCAGGAAGAGCTGGGCAACATTCCTGAGATAAGGGCTTCTCCTGCACAGGCAGGAGTCAGTCGGGCTCTGGGCTCAGACTGCCTGGGTGTGAATCCCAGAGCTGTGTTCTTGGGAATGACACTCAAACTCTCTTGTGTGGGTTTCTTCACTTGTAATGTGCAAGAGTAACAATACTTACCACCTGGGGTTACTGTGAGGATGAAATAAGGCAGTGGTTCTAAACTGGGGGTGTGATTTTGTCCTCACTCCCACCTCCCACTGTCCTTGGGACATTTGGCAATGTTTGGGTTGTCACAACTAGCAGGTAAGAATGCTACTGATATCCAGAGAGTAGAGGCCAGGGATGCTGCTAAACATGCTACAATGTAAATAGGCTACAAAGGAGGGATTCAGTTCAAAGTCAAAAGTGCTGAGGTTCAGGAAGCCGGAGACACAGTGATGTTCATAAAGACCTCAACAAGTGCCTGGCACAAGGTAGCATCTCAGTAAATGCTCACTTACTTTCCTGAGGTTCTCTCTGCCACTTAAATGATAAGGGGGTGTCCTTACCAAGGGTGTGGTTCTCACTCTGTACCTCTGGCACCAGGAAACCACGCCTGGCCACCCTGGGACGCAGAATTAACAGTTACTCCCCATTACAGAGTGCTCACTGTTCCTGGCCCTGTGCTGATGGGCTTCATAGACCTTCTCTCTGGTGATGACTCTTCAGCAACCTGTAAGATGTCTTGCTATTATTACTTTACTGCCACTTTAGAGGAAGAAACTGAGGTTCAGGGAAGTTCACAAGTCACCAAGCTAGTATTGTGTGCTCTTAGGATGCAGAAGAGTGTATACAGAGCCTTACTTAATAGAGGGAAAAGGTGAGGGGAAGTGTGCTCGTTCATGTATAATAATTTCACCAAATGGAAACACAATAAACTGGTAACAATGATTGTCTCTAGGGGCTTGAGAACAGAGAATAACTTGTCACTGTTTTATTCACTTTTTAAAGTGAATGCATTACCTGTTCAAAGTATAAATAACACTGAAGTTAAAGAGACTATGCTCTTAACTACCAGTACTTGCCTAAGTTGCCAGGGTGTGAGAGTATGTGGGGTGTGGGGGAGAAATCAATTCCAGAGACACACCCAAACCAACCTGATTCAGATCTCCAGGGGTAAGGCTTGGATATCTGCATTTTATAAGTCAAGCTGGTGATTTATTTATTTATTTATTGCAGTTTTGGCCTGGGCCGGGCTTGAACCCGCCACCCACCATATATGGGGCCAGCGCCCTACTCCTTGAGCCACAGGTACTACCAGACTTTTTTCTTTTTTTTGCAGTTTTTTGGCTGGGGCTGGGTTTGAACCCACCACCTCCAGCATATGGGGCCAGC